GAAAAGGACGGAATAAATTCATTCTTTAAAGTTGTGGAAACTAGATTGAACCTAGCTTATTTATAAATTTATTAGTATGTTCCAATAGTAAAATTATATTTCTGAATGGTAATCACTAAAACATAATTAATAAAATCATTGTTTTGGCCACACGTATTTAGTGAAGGCAGTCGGTATGAAGAGACCCTCAAGTTTGAATAGCACTAAGAGACTAGGATGACTATAATGATATTTACGATAAATATCTAAAAGTATATAAATTTCTTCCTTCTCCAAAACTGTATATTAAGCTAAAGTCAGCTTAACAAAAGTAAAAGCCTCGAAGAGATTACCGTGACAATGAACGACTCAAGTAATATGACTAAGAGTGAATAAATCCACTCCAACAGGAATAGTAAGTTTTTTATATCATAAGAAAAAAATCTCACTTTGACTTGCTCATTGAAAATCACAGCGCAGAAAACAATTTCTGTAAAGCCCTGAGTGGGGAACATACGAAAGCAAATGCCTCCGATAGCATGTTTCTCTTGATTTGGTTGTACCTTCAGTAGGACAAGGTTTTTGTGTTTGCTGTAAGGATGTAAAGAGAGTAGTATTAACGAGGGACATCGTAGAACCTGGAAAGATTTTAGTTAGCGAGAATTAAGCATACAAGAGAGAAAATAATTGTTAGATGTAATAGCAGCAATTTCGCAGATTAATAACATGATTTCCTCCTCCTTCATCCAGTAACTTCTGATTAGTAGTGAACTTAAAAGATCTTATGAATGATACTATATCCCCGAAAATCCAATGAAAGCCACATGTGATCAAAGACTTTTCAAATGAGTAAAAAAAAGAATTTTCGATCATATAATGAATATGGTAAGTGGCTTATTAGAATCTTCTAAAAGGATTGAGATAACCAATCAAAAATAGTAAATCTCGATTAGCTTAAGTTCATTGATTTGAACTTAATCATTTTGACCATAGAGTAAACATGATAGAGGCACAAATATGAAATGATCACAATTGAAAACATAATATCACGAAGAATATTTTGTCTAGAGCATTCTTCGGATAATTTTCCAAAATATTCGATTAATTAGGCATCTTTATGTGAAACTTATACTAGTTCAATCGGAAGAAAATATCAAGCCTCAAATTAAAAATAAAAGATCTAAAAACAATCTTTCATAGGTAAGATGATACTTGAGACACCGTTATGAATTAATGAGAGCCCCACCTATTAGTAATAGTAGTAATTAATGGGCTCACTCATAGATTTGTTGATTTTATAAGCAAGGCAAATTTATTCTGATACAATTCAGAAAAGTAATTAAGCATGTTTTAATAGCCCCAATTAATTAAGAAAGGCGAATCCTGCCAAAAAGCAAGCAAGAATAAGCTCAAATCTCAATAGCCAATAGTGTATCGGATTGCTTATTTCTTATGACAACCCACTCATCAAAAGACAGTGTATGCTGAGAATAAGTTTTTACCTAAAGCATAATATATTGAAGCATAGGTTTCGAAAAATTGCAAGTTTTACGATGGATGCTAGTTTTAGTTTAGAGGTTTGAAGCTTTTTACCAAAAGGAGATTAAACTTATACATAACTGTTGATTTTCTTTATCGCCATTTTTATCTCATAACTTAGAAATTACTTCATGCACTAAGGTCTTTTCAGATAAGACAACACAATAAAAGTGAAGCACAATATATTCCCTCAATGATCGACTTCCCTTGAGATCTGCAATGAGTGCTTTAGGGATTGTCTTGCATCCAAGAATGATTTTTCTTTGTTATAAATATATTCGTACGTGTAGCATTAAATATGCTTGATAGATGAGCTTCTACTAATAGGACAATTGGAGCTGCCAGAACAAAGTCGAAAGCGTGCAATTAACCTCTCAACCTAAAATTAGTTTGAGATGGCCTCGACTAAGGTGACAAACTCCCAGTTACCTATAGATACAAACGTGAAGGCAGAGGATGAGTTTAGAGAAGCCTGATTTATTTTTAAAGTCGACTTGTAACGTCATTCAACAAGTAAAAGTAATAGCAAATTTGTCGCTGAGACTGCATATCCACAGTTCGAATCCCGAAGGCCAACAGACGAGAAGGTAAGAAGAGACCGGAGTCTCAATGCAAAGTCAAGTCTGTTCCTCGAATCATTGAGATAGGAATAACTAAAAATGGCGCACATTGAGAAAAACAAGCATTCACTTTAGGTGAGTCCTAAGCCCGAATTAGGCCCTAGGTGAAAAGCTAAGTTCGTAACTGTGAATCTGTAATGACCTATCACTACTTTTTCCGATAAATTTGTTAGTTTCGTTAAATTACTTAGGTAACTATCGCTCAGCAATCATTTGACACAGACTGCTTGTGAGCACACCTACTCCTTGTTCACACCAATTAATCAAATCTCGCCTAAGTACTGAGCCTAACTTTGTACCTTTTAAACAAATCAGAAGCTAACATTCAAACCGAACAAGGGTTTAAGTGGGAAAAATGAGTTTTGAGACTTTTACAAGGCCTTGCCTCTCTTTTGGCTACCTACTCTCGCTATGATGTCCCACGTTTGCATGACACTATTCATCGCGATGATATCTTCTACGTCAACGGTTTGCCTCAGGTTCAACCAATGAAAAGTTCCGATGCTCGTCTTATCCTACTTATCCCTATCGTGACAAAGTTGTACCCTCAACTGAGCCAGCCACTTCCCTGAAAATAAGTTAATCACCCCCTCACGCGCTTCTCTTAGTGTGTACCACACTTTCGTACTCCTTTGCTTCCCTCTTTAGTATCTTCGATAGCGCAAGCCAGTAGGACCTCCGCGTAAGGATGGCTACGCTAAGCCAAGGTCTAGATCCCGGGCAAAGTCTACCAAAGACAGTTTCGCTGCGTCCCAATCTACAGGACATTGAAGAAAATCAGGACAGACTTCAAATCGACACCACTTATCCGCATTGGGCCTCAGCAGTGTTCCATTCATTGGCATCTACCATGTTGGTTTCGCCACTTCTCTTGGTCGTCCCACTTATTCTTCCGCTAATCCATCTTCATCACAAGCAGCCACACAAACGACTAAATTTATACACCTAAATCTACATAATTTGACAGCATATTCTTCGGAATATAATTTTTCTATTAGATTTCAAAACATTTTCTGAGGTATAAATCGTCCAAATTAAGGTAGATCATTTCATTTTTAAAAATCTATACTTTGATCGTATATATGAATGCCAGGGTGGTGTGGCCTTCTGTTTGGTCGCAGCCTCGTCTAGCTTTATAGCGTTGGTTTGATCTCGTTTTCGCAAATTGATCGGAGAGCCAATTGGGCTTTGTGGAAGGTACCTAGTTCTGTGTCCTCTACCATAGTATTCGTGATTTTCAGCATCGGACCATTGACTTGGTACATTTCCAAACGTTTTGCGGACATGGTTACAACTTATCAGAGACAAGTGGTCAAGGAGATTGCCTTCACTTGTCACTGAGACGTTGTAACTATGTGGACAATGGCGCCTCTCACTGACGATTCCAGCGAAATGTTTGTGAATGTATCAAGTCAATGATCTGATGCTGGAAATCACAAATAATATAGCAGAGGACATAGGACTAGGTACTTTACCCAAGGTATCACTGACGCTCCGACCAAATTGGGGAAATGAGATCGAACCGAAAATCTATATTTATTTTATTTATGATGACAAGGCCAGGGATCTCAAATAAAGTTATTGTTTCTATAATTTCCAGAACTGAGTACATTCGTGAATCCAATTTTATCATTAAGCAAGGATAAGCATTTTTGTTCAAAGCTTTTCTTAGCCAACCTGATATGAAAAAGTGGACTATACGATTATTTGAACAGAATACTAGTTATTACTTCAAAATTTGTCGATTTGATTTGCCTGTAATTAAGTTCTTTCATAAAAATACAGCTGACATGTGTCGATGAAATCTTAGTGCAAATCTTTAATTGATGTTTATTTGACTATAATAAAACCAACAACAATAAATAAATTTATAATATACTGCCAAGCATGGTTACAACTTTAACTCACGGATCAAAGACTAGCCGAGTGATGTACTCCTTTGGCATCCGAGGTAACTGCAAAGCGAACACATTTAGAAGTTCCAATAGCCAAAGAAGATGCTGGGCCTCAACCCCAGGAGAATGGTTGATCTCGATCTGAGGGCAAGCAGTGTCTACACCGCAACTAGATCCATTAATAGTTGAGATGTTCATAGGAGCGGTTGATAACTGAGGTGAATAAATAGGCCCCATAAGGTGGCTAGGATGTAAGCTATTGTGGACAATGTGAAACTCAATACCGCCTAGAGACTCTTCGCGTCTAGCAGCAGCATCGCGTGCTGATTGAAATGAACGAAGCTATCAGCATAAAAGTAAATAAAGTAAATTTTTAAATAAATGAAGAATTTATTTGAAAAAAAATTGTAAAACAAATAAACGTGGTGGATAGTTGTAAGAGTAAATAATGCCATCAAAATGTGCTCTTTAAAATGTAAAACCAAAGGAGTTATTGTAGTTATTTGACCTTATTTTTGCAACTTTGTCATATTGGCAGCAAGATTTTGGGGAAAACATATTGCCCGACTCCATAGCATACATGATAATTTCCAGTCACACCGTGGACTTGGTACATCTGCAAGCATGGCAAGCAGAGCTTAAGCGCTTCGCTCAGTGAAGCGGCAGTGTATGTGCTTCTAGGGCCTTGAGAAATAGCGACAGGAGTGAAATGCACACAGGGACTGGACCCGAGTGAAATCGGTCAACCAGAAAGATAAGGAACGGATCTACGTGACAATGAAAGAATCCGGATTGGAGGCACGAGTTAGATAAGCCCATCGAAAGAGAGGGGTCGGGGTAAATAGCAAGTGTGATGAGCCCACACCCGGCTTGCCACAAAAGGGCACACATTTTGATGACTGGAATGTAAACAAGTGAGAAGTTGTGATAGGGCGGCAAT